TGCACGAGGGCCTCCTCTGGGAGCAACCGGGGCTGGAGGACCCCGCACCGCCTGGCTGACCCTGCCCAAGGCCGCACTGCACAACAAGATCCCGCTTTCCCAAGTCCGCCCCTGCCCGGCTCCAGTGCGGGTCTCAGCCAGGCCAAGGGCCTGAGGTCTCGGCCATCTCCAGCTCCCCCTCCTTCTCCTCCACAAGCACTTCCCCAGCAAATCTCCTGCATTTCCGCTGTGGCCTGAGTGTCTGTGTCCCCCTCAAATTCACAGGTTGAAGTCTGAACCCCCAGTGTGATGGCATCTAGAGGTGGGGCTTTGGGAGGCAGTCGGGGTTAGATGAGGTCATGAGGGTGGGGTCCCCATGATGAATCAGTGCTCTTACAGGAAGAGGCTCCACGGGCCTTGCTCAGTACCCCCCCCCACGCCCTCCTTCTCTGCCACATGACGACACAGAGAGCCAAGAGAGCCCTCACCAGGACCCAGCCACGCAGGCTCGCTGATCTCGGGCTTCCGGCCTCCAGAATGGCGAGAATATGAATTTCTGTTGTTTAAGCCCCCGGTCTGCGGCGTTCTGTACGCCAGCCTGAGCGGATTGAGGCAGCCTCCAGCACCACCCTGGCACCTGCTCCGAGCAGACCCGAAGTTTCATATGTGCCAACAGCTCCTCAGAGCCACTCAGGATTCTGTCTGTATTTACATGTTAGTTTAGAAAGCCCCTACAAACATGTGGACTCTTAGCCAAAACTGGGCCCTGGCCTTCCATTTCAGTAAGAGCTTAAAGTCATTTTTTTTAACCAAAATAAGTATCCTGGGATTGCTTATCTAAACTGTCCATTTCTCAGTCAGACTTGTCTTTGACCCATAACCCAGATAATACAAACATCATGCCCCGTTTCCTGTGCCGTAAGAATAATCTGAATGACTCCTGATCGTGCCTCTCATCTAGCAAATTCCTGTTAAGGAAAATGACGAGCAGTTCTAAGACTTTATAAAAATATTAGTTGGTACAGATATTGAAACACAGAACGCCGTATCGAACTGTTCTGCTGTCCATGTAACTTTGGGGTCCTGGCCAACGCAATTAACAAGAAAAAGTACAACAGGAGGAAATAATCCAAACACTATTTCATTATGTTTAAATGAACCTCAGCTTAGAAAAGCAAACAGAGGCAAAGTTGATCAATATAATCTTGTAACTGCTACCCAAGTTTCATCTCATTTCTGTCCGAAAATGTGTGAACACTCAGACTATGAATGCCGAACAGTTTTTTCCTCATTGAACTGGCCGTGCTCACAAAGGTGACTCCCTCCCACCCTGAGTCCATCTGGGGGCACTGAGCAAAAGCCTGGGACAATCAGCTACACGGCCGCGATGCACCCCAGCCCTGCAGGTGCAGGGTAAACCTGAAAGGTCCACACGCGAAGCCCCGAGGGTGGGTGTGAACAGGGAGTGCCCCTCGTTATTCCGTCAGAGAAGCCATGTGACGCCCCAAGGCGCCCCGCCTACTTGGGACCCCTGGACTGCTCTCACCAGCAGACACGTCAGCCCCTCATTCTCCCTCCTGGAAGAGGCCCGTCATCCTTGAAGGAGACTGACTCCTCAGAGGCCAGTTTTGTAACAACGGGTTTTTCTTCATAATACACATTGCTAAAAAAATTCAGGCAATTTTTCTATAGACTTACAGGAATTAAGTGAGGGTGTTAAGAAATGACTCCATAAAGGTAAAAGGAATAAAAATAGAAGTTAGCAAACTACTTTTATCTACTATGTAGGACACGGAAGGACTTCTGCGTGAAGAGATGCGAGCACTTCGCCAATGAAAGCGCCAGTTCTGAATGTTTAATGTCTAAGTCCTTCGCGAAGCGGATTCATGTATCTGTTGCGATGTTCTACAAAAGGCTATGATTTGGCTATCTTTTGGGATGCAAAATAATAATCTGGGGGAAATCTCTAATGGATAATACCATTCATACTTAGATTTGAAGTAGAATTAAGTTCTCAATTAATATTACCACTAATTTGAAATTTGTAACCAACCATAAGAAAACTGAGGTCAAGCTCCCCTCTGTACTGTTTGCCAGAAAAGGACTTGCTGGTGTAGCAAATGCAATGCTGTGAATAAGATTTTTTAAAACAGTATTTGTTCTTTGAAGTGGGCTCAGCTGTTTAAATATTTAAATTTAGGAGGATATAAAACTGATCAAATGATTACAAATTATTTTTTTAATATAGCAGGAACTTTAAAAAAGCATCTTATTATTTCCGTTAGCATGAAAAGAACATACTTTGATGAGAGTACATTGTATGAAAGTTCTCAAACTTACAGACTCTTTGTAAATTTGAGCTGGCTGTTATTCCTGAGACTGGATTATTGAGGGTTTTTTTTAACTTTTTTTTTCTGATAGAGGTACCAGGGACTGAATCCAGGACCTCGTGCATGCTAAGCATGCACTGAACCTTTGAGCTGTAATTGCCCCTGTCCCCAGAATCTCTGAGGTTTTAATATCATTGTATCTTTCTTTAAAATATATTTTTATTGCGTTATAATCAGTTTACAATGTTGTGTCAATTCCTGGTGCACAGCAATTATATCTGAGTTTGATTTTTAGACGACATAAACGGGGCTTCAGTGCTAAAGGAATAACCCAAGGGGATCAGAGGCTCCTTAAGAAGTAGGCTCCGTGTCACCCCTACACCAGCAGGCAGACGGATGGTTTTCAGAGTTGCTGGTTGCTTAGTGACTAAAATCACTGCCCGAGGGGAGTCCCTCCAAGACAGAATTATAAGCAACGCCCCCCAGCCCTCACCATTCAGGCACCTGGTTACCTGTCAGGTGACAAAGTTAGAGGAGGCTGACTGGTTGGACGAGTCAGACTGCCCTTAAACACGTTCTGCACTTTCACATTTTGTGATTCGAGTGCTCAACAGGCAAAGCTCTAATTTTAAGAATGTCAATCTGACACTTTTGCACAGTGCTGAATTCATCAAAATATTTTGGAGTGCGGTGGGCGTCAAAGACTAAAGACTTTCATCTGCAGTGGCCGTGCCAAGGAGTAGGATTATATTACAGTGACGGTGGGCCAACAGATACAATGACAATAGAGATTTCGTTTAAAAAAAAAAAAAGAGGGAGAGATGGGGGGACAAGGAGGAGTAAAGAGAGGAAGAAATAAAGAACTAACGAATGAAATCACTCAAGTTTTAATTATTTTTTTGCACTTGAAAAAAGAAGTGTCTCAGCTGTGAAGTCTAAAGAACTCTCACAGTCGTGAACCTACTAGTATAAATGCAGTAAAGAAGCTCACAGGACACTCATTTCAAAAAGCGACGTCTGTTCTGAACATGTGCTCATCTCTTTCCAAATGCTTCCACCGCCCTGAATGAAACGCAGTTGCTGGGGGCTTTTTTCACGCACATATAAAACTTGTGAAAACCCAACTTGCCTGTCTTTCATTCAGTCATGGGACTGACAGCTCAGTTTTACAAAACCCTATTCAGATCTGACTTTGTGAGCTCGATTTACAAGTTACTCTCAGCATCTTAAGACACGGTTGTTAACCGTGTCTCTTACCTTCAACTGAGATGTCCTGAATGGCAAAGCGCAGGATGATGGTCCAGATCATGCCCAGCGTCATCTTCACGTTGCCGTCCACGATTTCTGCAGGTGAGAAAACACAAAGAGGGAGACGATCATGTGATCCGTGGACAAGGGTCTCCGCTAAGTTAGGGGTTTCCAGGAAGTCTGGACTGCAGAGCTATCGCAAAATATACATATGGAAAGACCACTTTCTGTTTTTGTGAGTGTCGCTGTGTGTCTGGTGTTCATGACCACGTCTCCAGTTTCAGTGAATTCTGAGTTAATACCGAGGGCCGATCTTGCCTATGCAAAGTCACCAAACACAACCCAGGGGTCTTCCTTAACCTAGGTGAGCTAAGGTTCAAGTACCCAACCACAGAGAACACGGGCTCCGCCTCACTCTATCCCCTTCCCCGGCTGGCAGGTCCTCGGGCCGAGGCCAAGTAGTGTCAGTCCTGCCAGACTCACTGGGCTGTGCAAGTTTCTTCTCATTCTGATGATCAGTCTGAAGGAGACGGCATCACATTTGACTCTATTTTTTAAATTTTATTTTATTTTTAAAATTTGGGATGTGAGGTAACTCAGTTTATTTATTTACTTTTTAGTGGAGGTACCGGGGATTGAACCCAGGACCTCGTACATGCTAGGCACACGCTCTACCACTGAGCTACACCTTCCCCCTTTATTTGACTCCACTCTTCACAAACGATCCTAGAGCCTAGCCTCCAGTTCATGGTGCCCAGGGCCTGGCAAGGCTGCAGATACGGGAGGTGGGGGGACAGGGGGATGAGGAGGGTGGGAAGAAGGGGTCCGTCTGCAGGCCCGCTGCCCCCACGGGGAGGCTGGAGCGCGGCCAGGCCACTCCCATCACACCCGACTCACCTTCAGCCCCGATGGACACCAGTTTCACCCCTTTGCTGGCGATGTAATCCAAGGCCTTGTTGACGTTGGCAATTTTGTGGAACCGCATTTTCCCTCGGTCGGGTTTGGGCAGCCTTTCCCCTGTCGGATGAAGAAGGACTCGTGTAAACATAGAAAGTAGCCCCTAGATGCCGAAGTTCAGAGCCCGTGCTCTCCTTAAACGGAAATCGGGTGCAGCCCCTTCCCGTCCCCGGTTCCTGCAAACCCCAGCATTTTCCAGACCTAGTGGACCCGAGGGGAGCCGTCCCGTGGAGGCCACACGCTTTGCAGATCTGCTGGGAGGGTCCGGTTTGGTCTACGAGCCAACTTACAAATGAGTAAGAGAGAAGCTGGCTGGGGCCCCTGCAGCCTTTGGGGTGGCTGACCTCTGTGAGGGGGAGCCAGGGAGCCTGGCCCAAATCACGGAGGTGGCTGCCGGGCTGATCCCAGACGCCCGAGCGTGCAGCCTCACGCACCGGGGCAGACCTGCCGTCATCCCTCCCGACCGCACCTCTTCAAGGCCCATCTGACCCACAGTCTCAGTCGCCCGCTGAGATGCGGGGCAACGCAGAACCCCTCAGGGACCTCAGCCCCCGTGCCCAGAGCTAGGCCAACATGTACATTGGCTTTTGGCCTGGAAGACGCTTTCTGGAATACTCCCTAAGCATGGAGGCGCAGCGTGGTGGGTCATCATGTTAATGTAATGTTTTCTTCTCCTATTCGGTTTCGAGGTGGGTGGCAGAAACATTTTATTTTATTAAAAAAATTTTCTGCACGGAGCTAGTTAGGCTTGTTTGTTTATCTATGTGTGTACGTGTGTACATGTGTGTGTGTGTGTGTATGTGTGTATGTATTTAATGGAGGTACTGGGGACGGAACACAGGACCTCATGCATGCTAAGCACGCACTCTGCCACAGAGCTATACCCTCCCCCTTCAGACCCATCATTTTGATAAAGTCAGTTTTCAAAAGAATTCATTCTTTTTTTAGAACAGAAAAATAAGTCCAGGCGGATTGTTCTTTGGAAGAGTTTTCGTTGCCAATAACACCACGTTCTTGCCCAGCCAGGTTCAAAGGGAGCTTCTTTTTATCAACAGATGCATCTGCTCACACGTAGAAGTAGATGGATAAGACTGGGTGCAACACCTACGGAAAACGTTTCAGACACACCTGAGATGACTTCCAAAAGCAGCATGAGCTTAAGGCCATTCCGGAAGTCTTCCTCGATGTTCTCGATCTGAGTGCCGGCTTTCCTGAGGTGGGAGTTGCACCAGGCAGTGAAGGTCTGCAACGAGAAACACACGCTGCTGCACCCACCCCGCCAGCACGCAGACCCCGCCCCTCCACATGGACCATGCCTGGCACCCCGCTCACGCTGGGGAGGCTGGGAGGCTGCAGCATCCTGGACCTTTAGAGAAAGCAGAGTCTGAGGGAAAGTGATTTGACACCCAGAGGTAAGAGTTTAAAAATTTCCTCTTTGGAGACAAAAAAAAAAGTCACTTATTTGGTAAAACAACCTGAGGAATTTTTGCCTTCAGTTTTAAAAGGTACCACGTTGACACCTACCCATGCCCCCGCCTTCTGAAAATCTCTTACTTTGCAGGAGAGACAAACGAAACGAGGATGTTTCATCTGCACATGGCAGAAATAAGCTCCCCTGCAGAACAGATGAATAAATAATGAGTAAAGAATGTTCAAAATGTCTTCCTTTAGAGCAGAGGCCGGCGGAGTTCAAAAAAAGGGGAGGGGGAGGGACCCATAACCACTAATTACGTACAACCAGTTTATCCTGGATGAACAACAGCTCTAAGCTAGTTAACTAACTCAATTAAATAAATTTGCAGTATAGTCAGTCATTAGAAGTAATAGTAATAACAATAACCTCCTACTGGCATATTCCAGGCCCTGGGCTGGACCCCACATTCCAAAGACAACCAGATACAGCCCCGCCCCAGAAGGGCTCACAGTCCAGTCGTGGTACCAGATTTTAGGGCCATATTAAGCGGCAAGATGAACTGTATCCTAAAGCGGCACCCAAAGTCATTCTCTGTTTATTTTTCAGGCTGCTTTTAACTTGGCTTCCACTTGTGCACTATTTCCTGCCAAAACCAGATTAGAAAAGGCTTCTGGCAGCTGCTGGCTGGGAATGCAAAGTGTCCCTTGTCACACAGCAGCTGCTGGGCCCAGGAACAAAGTGCCCGGCACATTGCGCCGGGGGGAGACACACAAACAGGGCCTGTGTTCTGGGGGGGAAACGAACCCCTTAAAAATAGACTTCTTCCAAGGAAGACCACACAAAGACACTGTTTCCATAAAAACGATTTTCCTGGGTAATAAAAAGGATTTTCAAATCGAATAGTCACTTATTTCAAGAACTATGTGATGGTATTCATTTCGAGGGCCAAAGGAAAATGTAGGCATTTTCTTGAATTGACAATAATAAATTTTATCATGAGAGCCTAAACTAATCATTATTTCTCCTAAAACACATCTAAACTTCAGTCAGGTCTAAACAGAAGAGATACTCAAAGTCATACACTCTGGATCTGCACCCAGTCAATATGGTAGCCATTAGCCATACATGGCTATTGAAATGTAAATTAATTAAAATTAAAGGGAATTAAAATTTCAGTTCCTCAGCTGTACAGTCTACCTTCCGAGTGCTCAAAGACCACAAGGGGCTGGTGGCTACTGTATTGGAGGATGCAGACATGTACAGAACATTTCCAGCATCACAGGAAGTCCTATCGGACAGCACTATCTAGGTAATCAAATCCTGGTTTTTGAAGTTAAGAGTGTTAACAAGAGTCTGTTCCTACCTTCGTTCAGAATTCAAGTGGCATGAGAAGGTGTAAAATGAAAAGCCTCCCTCTCTCTCCTGTTCCCAGCCAGCCAGCTCCCTTCCCCAGTGAGACAACAAATGGATTCCGTTTCTTGTGTGTCTCTTCAGTGACGTTCCACACACACACACAACACACACATACACACAACACAGACACACACATCATACCATACACATTGTTCTGCACCTGGCTTTTTAATATTTTTTTAAGAAAAATATAACCTAGGGATCATTCAGTATCAGCAAAGACCACCCTTTTTACAGCTGCATAGTATTCCACCATCATGAATCTACCATTCTGTATGTAACTAGTTCCCTCTGGATGGACATTTAGGTTGTTTCCAGATAACTAAGCTCATACAGTGAAAAATACCTCAGGCCCGACTTTCAGCCAGCCAAACTGCTATAAAGCTTTTTTTTTTGGTTGGTTGATTGTTTTAAGAATAATCATATATGTAACCTTTCGGGAAACGCACAAGAGAATAGCAGGTTATGATTTTTAAAAACAGAATTGACAGAGGAAAAAATATGATATAAAATATTTACAGAGCTGCCTTTCTCTAGCTTCTACTTAAAAAACAGGCAAATGTTGCTGGTGTCAATCACCTTACCTCGTTACCATGTTATTTAAGTCCTTTCATAATAAAAGCATCAGAAGCACTTCTGGAAGGAACCCCAAAGCTGTTCATGGAATCAGCGCAAGCTTCCTGCCCCCACAACGGGGCACCGGGAAAGTCTGTGTGATACCACCTTTTTATAGGCGCACATACAGCGAAGGCAATGGACCACAGGTAATGACTCAACAGTGCACATCCAGAGAACGAATTTAATCTGAAAGGGTAACTGATTCAATTAAGCCTAATGAAGTTTCCCTCTCTTTAATAAGTATTCCGAAGAGCCAGTAAAGGGGGTGACTAGGCAGTGTACATGCAGAAAAGGGCTCCGACAGCTTTGTGATAATCGCTTGCAAAGAAGCCAGTCACGCTGGAAAGGAATTTTCAGCTCTATTAGAATGTTTAATGTTCATTCTATTTACAGTTTTAATTACTGACTGAGCCTGTTCCTATGCATTTTCCACTGTCCTCGGCTTCTGGGAAAAGCCTGCCAATCACGGAGGAATAGAAACAACCACGACAACAGCAGTACAAAACCCCACGCATTTTACCTAAAGGCGTCTCTGTGGGT